CATGTGATTCATTGATTTGCAATTGTTGTTTTTCAATCTTTTTTGTAAAACACCCTCGCGCTTGATCGTTGGTAAAATCTTTTCTGACCAATATGTCTCTATACGTGTTCTATACGACGCATCAATCTTTAGCGAGATAGTAATGGATTTCATATCAAATATCAATTCAGCAAACTTTCTTTTGTTATTTTGTCATAGATAATGCATAAACTGACCTTTATAGGGGCACCATCTTGTTTAATATAAAGTAATATAGAGGTATCATTGTTAACGTAATTGATTATACCATCACATGCACAACAGCATGTCAGTGAAACAATGTTTATACAGCAATATGATCCGGGCTGGTTGTATTCAGCTATACGGTCGTACGTACATGTAGACATACACATATGTGACACGCCGAGAGCTTCATACGTGTACTCATAAAACTTAAATACCCCACGATAACTCGGTAATTTAGCCCCCTGAAATCCATCGTTTCTGATTGTACAATGTTGTTTTTCACGTCCAATAAATGTGTTGAGAATGCATTTTTTTTATAAAACTGTTTTACTTCACAATATAGTTGTATATTTTATATATTGTGTTGCATAGATGATCAGCAAACCTTGTGTGTACCAGGTATATATAAATTGGTTTTTAATGCATATACTTTCTGTTGATATGTATATTAAATGTTCATTTTAGGGGAACTAAAGGAGAAACCTGCACTTGGCGGGGAGGAGACTGATGTGAGACCAGTTATGATAGGCAAAGCCATTCCTGAAGGTTTTCTAGAAAGTGGTGATAAAGGCCAGGGACCTTCTCTGCCTACACTAGATGTAATTAAGCTCATATTGGTGATCTATCCAAACAAAGGAATGATGACATACTGTGTTTAAAATCTACTTTTTAGACTAATAGTGCATTTAAGTGACTATTCAGTCCATTTGTACTGGCCTAAGGACGGTCTTTCTGTGGATGTACAAGTTTTCTAGGGTTTTCATCATGTCAAAGTGTTTACTGGAGGTAGAAGGTGAGGCCAAAATGTGTAGTGATGTGATTTGAGTATTGAAATTTTCCTTGGCCAATAAATTGATGGGAAATGAACAGTTATTTATTATCTACAAAAAACCCAGTATTGAATATAGGAAAAACATATTCTGTGCCTTAACTAAACTGCCTGTTTTGTTTTCTGAAAATGATGTTTAAAAAATATTTGGGAAAAACAATCACTAAATTAAAACAGCAAGATTTTGAAGTTTTTCATTCAAATGAAAAATGGTACTGTTGGAACAAGTGACCTCATCAACCTCAAATATTTACATGGGGAAAGTCTGAGGCTAAGTATACCAGCATATTCAACTAAAATAGAATGGTCAAATACTTATTACGCATGATTATACTGTACTGAGTGGTTGGGTGGTGAAGTGGATAGCGCACCAATTGCCTTTCACCAAGGCGGCCGGGGTTCAATTCCCCAACCAGACGTGAACAGATATGGGGTCACCTGCCCGAACACGTTGGTTTTCTCTGGGTACCCAGTTTCCTCCAATAACACCCCCCCTCCCCAAAAAAATAAATAAATATATATATAAGCTGAAATATGTTGTTTCATATTGTTGTAAAATAAATAAAGTTTATCTTTAATTCCTGTACGAGTTTTGACCAAAGTGTCGCAAGAATATATACGCTAAAGAGAAATAAAAATTGTAATTAATCCGTAACACAGAAAGCCATGATTTTCTTGATTTGTTTTCTTCGTTGCATTTTTAGATATAATCTCTTCAATACATTAAAAACTCGTTGAGCTGGGCATGACTGACATTCAAAGTTGCGACGTAAAAGACAGTGACCACGCTTGCAACGTCAAATCTCTATTTTATTTCATGTATGTCATGGTCATTACAAAGTGGTATAGATTTGTGAATACTGATTCAAGATTTTGTTGTAAACATATTTTTGTCACAGCTATAACCGGAAGAAAACTGTAGAGATGTTAGTCTTCAAAGTTCAAAAGTACAGAAGTATTATTTGTACCATGGTCATATGGAACCCTATTGTTTTACATTTCAGTATTTGTGTATGACTTAATAACATATTTTATTATTTCCGTTTAACTGCTCTGGAATTTTCCTTTACAATCATGCTCTAACCCTAACCCTAACTTCTGGAGTGAAGCCAGAAATAAGCAGTTAAAATTAATATACATATGTTACCCGCCGGTATCAATCTTAAAAGTAACGTTAGAAATTATGACGTTGCAAGCGACGTCAGAAGTCATATAGCATACTTCTATGTATGACGTATCTTTAAATGGCGTCAAATCATCAAATATTGACGGACTGACATATTTTTTATATCATTGTGATAAGAAATGTCTCTAGATTTCGAAATCATAAAAATCACAAATTGATTTTTTACTGCTTAAGGACCCTAATCCCAGCCGGCGGCTCACATATAGAGTGAGAATTTGAACAAAATATACACAACGGCTTTATAATTTATTTATTTCAACTTTTACAATCACTTTGATCCTGGTGATAGTTGTCTTTCTTGAAAGAAATCGGAACTTTTTGCAGAGGGATACAATTTACACAATGACAGTTATTTCTGTTTACATATAACAAAAATGATGGAAATAAATCAAAATTATGATATAAAAATTATCTATTAATTGTTCTTTTATGGAACCAAATTACTCTCAGTCATGTACACTTTGGACATCATTCCACAGCCCGCTAATTATAACGCACGGTATATTTACATGTGCCCAGAGGCTATCGCATGGTATGCCGTTCACGTGCACTCAAACATACATTTTCATAGGGATCTTGATATTTTACAAAACATTATTTTCACAGAGTAATAACTAGACTGCATTTGTAAAAACGATTTAATCGACAGAGCGAAACTCGCTTAATCAACAGCGAAAATCGAGCTTGTGAACTTGTAAGCACGTGGTATGCACATGTGAGGTCGGTCCAGAAATCTTCCATGTGTTTCATATATGACCTTCTTGAGGTCGTTTGGTCTCATGTCAGTGACTTCCCGTGAGTCTGTTTATGTCTATGAATTGGAAGCTTTATTTCTGACGTACGTGTGATTACACATTTCCAGGTAAAAACTCGATATTAGATATTGACATATCGTCGTCCGCACGTGTACTATTGTTTACCAGGTGTTACATTAATGACGACACGGTGTACATGCACATTTCGATCGAGTTACTTGAGTCCGAGCTGTACTTTTCCGGAAGTACGTCACGAAAATGGACACTGATGACGATGTGTGGAGCCACCTTCTAAATTTAACGCACCAATCAGCGCCGAGGTCACAAAAGTATGAGTGAACTATAATACAAGTAAGTCTGTTTCCTATCGTAGAAACACTGTACTGACTTTGAATGGCGTACATGCCGTGTGTTAGGCGCTACCTACTAAGGTTTTAGCGTGTCATCCCGAGGACAGCACAGTGTCCGACCAATTGAAATTCGACCATTTTTCGATGTTTCATGAAGTTTAGTCTACCGAAAATTATACATCAAATTAAATAGAAAAACATTCCTGTCGATCTAGACTTCTCCCGGTGTCATGTTAACCCCCCCCCCCGCCGAAAACAAGCAGTTTTATCATATCGCTGAATAATTGGACAACAAAAGTCATCAAAAGTTATAAAACTAATTTTCTGAGGAGTATTTGGAAATTTGTATTATTTGAAAATCCGATGCAAAACCTTGTATACTTATATAACTTGAAATCCTGACAATTTAGCTGATTTCAGACTGACTATTGATACGTTAAGTAAACTATAGTGTTAAGTATGTAGATGTATCAAAATAATTTATTCCTGGAAGAATATGACTACTCTTTCTTCCCCATTACATACTGTACATTTACAGTTTTATTGTCTTATAAAATCATAAAAGATTAACAAACAGATTTTCTGTAAAGATTTTTGAATTTTTCTTGTAAAATTAATGTGGTTGTTTTCTTTGTATTAGCTGGTATATTGTTACTTGCCATACTTAATAAAATCACTCCATTCCAACTAGTTTCAGACTAAATATTTTGTCATTATGTAAGGTAAGTAAAAATAAAGATTATCTGAATATTTTGTTCCTGAAAGCATTTGACCATTTTCGCCTTAGGAAATTGGGAAAAATGTGAAAATGTTTAAGGAGAAACAATATTTTTCCAAAATATCTTTTTCTTTCTCTAAAAACACTGAATATTTACAGGACTCGCTGTCCTATAGTGGTACAAATCATTGGAATGACTAACATAGCTTTTAAAGAAACATTTCAATTTGATTAATATTTGTATACTGCAGTATATAATCATGGATCTAAGTCTTGATATTATGTATACATAGCTTACGTCTATAACTTACAGTATGTCACTCATGCAAGGATCAGTAATACTTCCATATCTTGTTCATAAACTCAAGAATTTGTTTTAAATAACCACCCGCCATACATAAGATTTGAGACTTGGAATAGAACATGCTCATCAGTTACCGTCAAGAAGCTGTAACTTTCAACATTTTGCTATAATATTACTTCATATAAAAGCTAAACAATGCACAACGATATCACAGAAAAGGCGACCATGATAACAACATTCAGTTACGTCAACGTAGTTATCCATGTGATTTTTCCTTTACGATACCGCGAATTTCAAAATGAATAATGAAACGATCCCTTCTGCAAATTAATTTTCAGCTTAGATTTTAATGATATAATGACAACCCTGGAATACAATAGAAATACCATTTCCAAACATTCCGGTATCCGAACACCATTGCTTTCATTCCTCCGTCTCGTACAGCTAAGGTGTTCAGAGTAGTTTTACATGCTTTAGGGATTTAGATCGACTTTCGGTGCACCTAACAACAGCGAATGATAATTAGAAATAATAAGTATCTTAGTGTTTATACCGATACACATTGTTAAATTTAGTCAATAATCCATTCATTTAGTTTTATTGTTGACCAAAGCTTACATGTATCGTTCTTAGTCCTATCCGGATATGCACAATCGCCTACGCACAATTACCATCGCCACATAAAAACTTTCCGGAATCTTCCACCCGGCATACTGTTTTTTTTGCTTATCTAGCCCCAGTGTCTTTTCAAACGCAGTCGCGTATACGTAATGTCCTACGTGTGCACCTTTTCCCAGGTGATCCTTGACAAAGGCCTGCATTAACATCTGCAGGTCCTCCACGGTTTATACCCGAAAATGTTACATAAAAAAACAGTCACACCGGTTGTTCTACATAAACGAACATGCTCCTAGTGTTACCAGTTAAAACCCGCTACACATCCTTGATCGACTGTGTTGTCTAGTATGCCACGTGTAAGATGTAAGGATTTAATGTGAACAGCGTATATATATGTGTGTGTTATACTACTTGATATGCTCACAGTGAATGTACGTCACGACGAGACGTCAATCGTTCAGGGAATAAAGGACGACAGTAAAAGCTTACCCTATAAACCTCTGACTTTCTGGACTTCCTGTGATAACAACGACGGTAGGTATTTTATGTCAATAGCCATTTACACCTTAGGGTAATATGTCCTACCTTAGGATAAGTAGACCGAGACTAAACTCACGTTACCGTAGTACATTGTAACTGTGTAGGATCAAATAAACTAATTTGGTGAAATAAATGAGTACTGTCAGTAGAAGACGACAAACTGTATTGAGTTAAGTCAATTGTGTCTAGTGCTTGTCAGTAATACATTGATATGTCCTTATTATCTTAAAGTGTTATTCAGTTAACAATATCTCTCTACACTTCTAGGAGTCGATTCAGGTGTGTACATTTTGTATGCGTGTTGTTGTTTATTTGTTAACTTAATGTTGCACTGTAAATATGAATAACTGAAGATCTGGTATAGCTTAAGGTAACACATGAACTTGAACGGGAAAAGACATTGTGTGCATGAATGTGTATGTCTAATTGATTTAACGTATTGTGTCATATCTGACCGCATCTTGATGTATACTATTTGCACTACATGTACTCCTCTTTAGAACAATAAGTTTGGTCATGCGTACATTTCTGTCGGTCTGATTGTCTACCTATATATACATATTTTTATGCCACACTTTCAATAAGCGCAATAACTCCCCTAAATAGCATGTGATGTCATCCAAACTTATTTAGGAAATGCAATTTCAGATTAGCTCATGGAATGTTGAAGTTTAAACATAATCTGTGCATAAACATATCTGATTTTAATTTATGTACAATGGAAGTTGGGCGCGAGTTATAGTGCATTTTAATTGGCTTAGTGTTTATTATACGATACAATGCGCCACTATAACGACCGACAATGACAATGACAATTGTTTTATTCTCATAAACAATATAGTGTAGAGAATACATATATACAAATGGGTGGCAATAATATATGGTGGAACAGGATGGACATTAGTATTGTAAATTAATTATGTCATTAATATTGGTAATAAATTCAGCCAATGATGTCAATTCATGTTGTGTTACATAATTGAATAATGTATGATATTTAAATGTGTTTGGTCTTTCATAATAATATCTGGACATATGTTTTCGCCTACTATTGAGAATCGGTTGATGTGTATATGTAAACAGATAATGAAATTCGTCGCCAATTTCTCTTAAATAACATAAA